AACAACACCAGACACCTATCAGTAGAGAATCGACAGCTGACTCAGTCAAGATAAAATCAAAATTCAGAAGCTCAAAAAACCTTATCTTGCATTTATATTTTATGTGGATTTAACATTTCAGAATTTAGGATTATTATGATGTTGTTCCTAGAGGGTCAAATTGTCCAACAATGCATGGGGGTGTTGAAGCAGCTGTTTAACATTGAATAGATTAAAGCAGTGGTACCTGGAAACTTTGTTTTAAATCTTAAAGTGGCTATAGTAAATAGTAAATATTAAATATTAATATGATAGCAATAGCCCTAATGATTATGAGTAAACATAAAAGCTTTCAATTATAGTGATAAACCCATAGAGAATTATTGTTCCACGTAGCTCTACAAAGCTTTATAGCTCATTGTTTTGGTTTCCCCGCCTGCATTTTTACCTGGTTCACTCTCACTGCTCTCATAGAGTCATTTTTGGCCCACCAGGCAGCTGTTTGAACAAAAACAATCTCTACAAATACCTACTGTATGCTACCTGCCCAGACAAACACAGTTAGTAACTAGCTGTTGAACACAGAGAAAAATTTAGCAGCTAGAGAGCCAGATATTTTTTTCAGGAGTTGATGGAAACAAAAACAGAGCTACTGTTTGCTGTAGCGACCTAAAAGATGGTAATATTTCTGTTTTCACAGCTTGTTTCTGCTTCCCCCATGTGGCCAAAATATCAGTTAGTACGAGTTGAAGTATTTTTCAATTTTTCAGTAAATGTTCACAACTAAATAAAAGCTGTAATTGGTGCCCCTGCATTAAGGATAACTGTATAGAAATATCTTCACACTGATGATCTTGGTTCTATAGGTCATATAGAGGCATCAATCAAAAACTCCCTGTAATACATTTAAATAGTGTTTTAGAGCCTTTAGAGTAGTATGTAGTCATCATTCAACAATGTGGATAAACAGTGAGAACAGGCTGCAAAAACTCCCACTTTATTTCTATCGACTTCCATCTGTTGATGTCTGGTACAATTACAATCAGGTAGTTTGGGACTGCTGCGACCTTTAGTTAGTTGTTCATGCAATCAGTTTTTATCAGGCCAAAGACACACCCATACACACACAAACATACACCCATACCCACACAGTTTGAGATTAATAGACAATAGCGGAAGTAGAGAAGAAGCTGTCTGGAATTATTTTGGTTGTCTATGACTCAGGCAAATGTTAACATTGTAGTACATTATCATAGTGATGTCTGAGTACAATGTCCACTAGTTAGATAACCATCTACCTTCTGATGTATAAATACAAAAAGTATTTCTGTCTTAAGGAAAGAAAGAGAAGTCAACTCACGTAATACAACTATTTTTGGAGGCCTTCAATCCTGTACATTGTTTTCAGAGCTTCACCTACCCCAATGCTGTCATACTTCACAAAGACTTTCCTTGACGCTTGCTCTTTGAAGTTCATGAACCAAAGGCCGCCAGACGATTTTGTGGAGAAAGACCTTTAATGGGAGTCTGTTTGAAGACAATGACTGTTTGAGAAATTTTGAGTCTAAGCAGCCGCAGCACCTCACACATCTCAGTCTCCATCACCTCCCTCGCACAGATGATTAGTTGTGCAGAGACCAGAACTGATGTAGAGTCGGAGTGATTGAATCACAAAATGACCCAAATGAAAGAATTGATTGGCCTCGCGATCATGATGTGTGTGAAAATGAGCGCCCTAAAGTCTCTGACACTGATCTATTAGAAATTCCTCTCAAGTTTGCTTGTGATTCACTGATGCATTGTTCTGACAGCTGCTTCATGGGGATTGACATTTGTACAGAGTGAGGGTAGCCTATTACATTGGACAGATGTGATTCGCTCTCGATGAGTGTTTGGGAGAATTGATATTTATCAGAGGATTGAGATCAGATTAGAGGTGGATCGCAAGGTAAAAGACTGGAATTTGAATCGTTTTTACTGTGTTTCTCAGTATACTGAATAACAGTGATTAGATAAAATGAGGTACTATATATACTACGTATCCTCAGTGCCCTAGGTTTGACTCTGCCCGGGATCGTTTCGCAAGTATCCTCACTTTAAAATTAAACAAGATTAAAAGCCTATGACCACGTTTTCAGCTCTGTTAGGCAGTTAGGCACAGATGTGCTCTGACCTAAATGCTAACATCTGCACGCTAATATGCTGACATGCTAATGTTTGGCAGGCATAATGTTCACCATCTTGGTTTAGTGTGCTGTTATGCTAACATTTGATCATTTGCACTATACGCACTTTTTTCCTGGTGACGGTGTTAGATAAAACGTTAGGGTATCACATAATCATAAGTTATTACTGTTCATTCTCTGAACACCAAGGATATCTGCATGCCAATTTCACATTTCATCATGTATCAACCTCATAGTGGCCCTATAGGAAGAGTTTACCAAAGTCGGTATTCATCAACACGGGCTATGAAGGCTTTACATTCCATGTAAAATCAAATAGTTGTTGAGATATTTCAGTCTAGACCAAAGTGGCGGACCAGTTGACCAATAGACATTGCTATGAAACAGCCCTGGTGGACAAACTATGTAATTGCATTATTGTCTAAACTATCTCAACAATATCTTTAGCATTTATGAGCATTTCTTGTTACTTGTCTCCCAACATAAACAGTGATGTACTGTTCAGTGTAATGAACTGTGTGTCACTGACTGAAGACAAAAGGTCTTGTAAATTTAATCAGTTTCTAACCATTATTTCATCTAAACATGATGTTGATATACAGTAATACTGAATAATTTATGGCTAGCATGAATCCACACTATAACTTTGAGATATTTTTGGACAAGCGGAAGGACGTTTCTGAAAGGAGATAGGTTGACTCATCGTTAAGCTCCATGCTGTTGAAAGTTTTGTTTCACAGCTATTCTGCTTCTTCATAGAGTTCTGTACATATGCGTTAATGTAAATTGGTTGCTTCCCTTGCCTGACTTTGATTTGACATTGTCTCACTGTGTAAACATGAGACATTGTCGTGCAGACAAATCTCCACATGGAATTATGCTTCAGAATATATATCTCCCTACCATCTTAATCTGAAACTCTCCTAAATGTTATTGGTGCATGTAATATAAAGTCATAATGAGAATATCTTTTAAAATCAATTATATTATTATGCATTTTAATTAAACAACCTGCAGGCCCTTCAAAGTTGAGGAGGAACACTGCACAGTGTGAGTGTGACATCTGCAGCCTTCCTGGAGCCAGACTGCACTCCTCTTTGATCCGGCTTCATTATGCAGAGGGAGGCTGACCTATCATGAAAGCTGAGACGTACTGTGTTCCAGCCTCCCAAATTGTAAACACAGGGATGTACTCAGACAGCTGGTTGAGGAAAAAATTGCTAATTAGGGCCTCTTCTTTTAGGTAAATACAATCATATCTTTTCCTGGTTTACAAACACTTTGCTGGCCGTTATTAGACCAAATTAAGCTTCTGTTTTGCTCCTCCCTAATGACAGTTTTCCCTGGATGCTTTGTACTTTTTATCAGAGCTTCACATGTCCCTTCCTTACTAAACCCTTCCTCTCATTAACCTCTTACTTGACTTTAGGATTTTTTCAATTTCAGCTTCAAGGTTTATATTACAAACATCTTCACAGCATGTGTGATAAGGTGCAAATTTAGAGCAGTTGATATTTAGTTTTCTCATGCTCAAAGAAACAATTGATGACAGCTTCTGTAGTGAAAAGCACATTCTCTTTATGGCTGTATGGTCTTTTAACACTTTATAGGTATTTATTAAACAGTATTAAACATGTCCTAGGCTGTCATGTTTCCTGAAACGTGAAGAAGAAAGAAATTGTTACATTATACAGTAGTGTTTGCATGTCTAGTGCTAAGATAAACAATATACTTGAGAAAAGGAAACCACCTCGTCATTTGGCAGCCACCACCCTATTTTTTTGCCAGGCTTGGAAAAGCACCTACATAAAACTCTGCACCATTGCTATCTCATCACAATCCAGTCCCTCTCCAAAAATGGCTTAAGAGTAGAATTTAAAACACCATGTTGGAAGAAAATGTCCCATATTATCTTTGAAAATTTCAGCTGACATATTAGGAATGTTTAACTTGTGACCCTCACTCTGGGCTTTATCTCGGGGTAATTCGTTTCTCTTAGCTGTACCACATAATCTGAATATCAGCTATTGTAACTGCATGTCACCCGGAAAAAGAGCACCGTGCAAGAGTCCAGCCCGAGTATAGTCGTGGTCACCTTCAGATGACAACCCTCATCTGTCTCCACCTCGCCTGAATATTGTATCATCATTGTTGTATGTCTCACTCTCCGGCTCCTCTCTTTTCCATTCCCTGGTGTCTCTCTCCCTGTAACCTCTGCCTTTTATTCTGTGCTACTTTTTCCTTCCTCCTGTCTCATCCTCAGATTGTTGTCACATTCCCAGTGCCCTCTCCTTCCTTGTTGTCTCTTTATCTCTCCCCTCCTCTCCCTCTCTCTCTCTTTCTCTATCTCGGTGTGTCTGCTGTCTTGTGTGGTGCCGCAGGGCTCTCTGGCTGATGTAATTTATGCTATCTACTTTGCTAGTGTGAGAAGAGAGCATCGTGAAGCCAGCACTCTTCATGCAGAGTGCTCCTGTGGGAGGCTGTGAGCCAGCACTGCCAAGAGCTACCCCCTTTCTCTCTTTTACCATTTCTCCATGCACAATGCAATGACCATGCATGTGACAAAGATGCTCAATCTGCATGGCAGTACAGGATAATTAGAAAATACCACACAGCAGCTGTCAGCTGCAAAGACAATTGAATGTGATATCACCACAGGTAGCCCTGACTGCTGCCTTTTATTACATCAGCTTAGGTGAAGATTTCGTATGCTGTGTTCAGATGGGAGTGTGTTTTGCTTACATCTCATGAGTTAAATCCATCAGGAGTCCATAGGAAACACTGGAAACAGGAAAAGATTTGATGTTGACTGAACATGTTTATGTGTGGTTGCAGGACTGCAATCCATTTCAATGACAACAGAGAAGGCTTTGGCTGGGGAAATGAAGAGCGCAATGGAGGGTGACGCCAGAAGAACCAATCAGGTGGGAGCGCTGTGGAGCTCACAGCAGCTGTAGATCATTTTACTCAGGCCTTTCAATCACTTAGGGGCCTTCCGGCTTTCTGTTTTATATGCAAGGCAGCTAGCCCCCTCTGTCTGTGCCAGTAACTTAACATCTTAACATCTTAGAGCAGCAGCTCATGCTACATCATGCATTTGATGATTGCCTCACATGATGAGAGGTTTTGGTTTTAAATCACTTTGTCAGACAAGCACATAATGCCCCCTGAGATTCAGAATTCAAATATTTAAAATGAAAGACAAAGTACAATGTGATTTGAAGCTCACCCACTCAGAGGAAGGATTTTCTCTCTCCCAGGTTCCAGAGGACCATGCCGAGGATGATAGCTCAGAGAAGACCCCCAGCAAAGCCTCCAAATCACCACAGAAAACCACCAAGCGGCCCAAGACTGTCCCTGTCAAAGTCACTCTACTCGACGGCTCAGACTATGAGGCTGCAGTTGAGGTATGCTACTCACGTGTCATCAAGGATAGAGAAAATGGCTGATTCATCCAATTATTATTTTCATAATTCTGGCCATTGGTTCTATCTGTAACAACAGCCTTTTACCCATCAAGTTGAGATCTGGGACATCACTAAAAAGAAGTCAGATGGGACAAGACATGAGCAATCAGAGTTTGTCCCCAATTCATAGGTTGCTAAGACAACTTCCACCCATCCATGACTCCATATTCTCCTGGATCAGGGCTTAGTTCACAAGCTGATTGCTTGTCTTCATTGTACGGTTTTCATCGTGTTTCCAGATCTCAGCATTTACAAAAGAAATGATGGCAAAAATGGCAGAAATAATAATTTAAAGCTGCTTTCAGCTTCACAGCTAAACACAGAGTTTCCTTTCCAAAGAGTTATCCTTTGATAATAGTTTCACCATAAGCAATTCTGCAAACATGCAGAAACATAATTGAATAAATAATTTCAAAATGTTGTTTTGCAGTTCCATTAAAACCCAGTTTGGCAGTTTCTTGATTCTTTAATGCCCACATGTTTAAGTGCATATCTCACTGTGCAGAGTGACAAGAAATACAGCATTTTAGAAAGCTGGTGTACATCTCCCCTAGTTAAACAGAGCCCTTGACTCAGCACACCGCACCACGGTACACCTCAGTGGGATTTAGTCTCCCCCGGTAATTCATGCTACTGAGTCAGGAAATGCAGCTCTGCTGCTATTCTGACTGAGAAGGGGAGTGATGGGTGGAGGGAGGTAAGACAAGCTCTACTTTGTGGGGGATGGAAGGCTCAGATGAGCAATCCCCGGCTTCCATGAATCGTGACTCTGTAGCCTTTTGTGTTTGTAAACAGACAAATTCCCACCACTCTTGGTTTATGTGAACTTAACAGTACCAACACACTCATCATGACAAAACACTGCAGAAAATGAATCTGTTCCTGGATTATAATGACTTCTGAGGGAGAGCGGGGAAGGTTCCACACCAGAGGGAGATCCTGGGCAGGACTTAAACAGCTGCCACGAATCACATTAAAGCCTGCACTGGAACCCCATTGGCTGCTGCTTATGATGGAGTGTGATGTGTGACAGGAAATGATCTTGTTGGCCGCCCGACCTCATTCATGTCAACTATATTCCTTTTATGGGTTACTGCCTCCCACGTGACCTCACATATTTTACTTTGCAGAGGCAGCGACTGGAGAAATATGTCTGAAGTCCTGACTGAGCCCCCCTACCCCATCTCTCCTTCTGTCTTGGTTACGTGCATGCATACACACACATTTCTTCATGTCACCTGGGCAGTGACACTAGAGGTATTGGGCTTTGACAGGAAATCCATAGAGCTGACAGATGAGTGCTCTTATGTTTGACCGGGGAGAAAATAGAATGGCTGAAGGAAAGAGGAGGAGGAGGAGGAAGGGATGAAGAGAGTGGGGGAGGAAGTATAGAGAAAGATGGAGAGGAGGTAGATACCAGGAGTGCTTGCTTGTCTACTGTAGTATGTATGAGAGTGTATATATCACTGTCTGCAATGGAAAAAAGCAAGCAGGGACACAATGATGAATGCAATGAAATCATTACTTTAATTACAGCCATGATGTCCACAGAGCAAGAGGGCCCAGATGATAAAAGCAAAGAGAAGCAGCCTTAGCCTCCTATTGACGTTTGGCTCACGACATTATAGATATTGATTGAGCGCAGTGCATTAACATTGTCCAGTCCTAAACCTAAAGCCACAATGAAAGAACTCCACCACCTGCTGACAGTACTTCACTGCCTTCAAGCTTACAAACTTTTTCAAGTGTGTGTTTTAAATAAAATCCTGAGGAAACCAACCGCGTATTTTAACTACTTAAACTTTGGCTGAACGTAATTTCCTCCGCAGGTCCAACCCAAGAAATTCTAATTTTCATTTTCACGGTTTTTTCATTTTTGCTGGTTAACCACATGATCATGTGAGTTTCCACTTTAGTAGAAAGGCACGGCTGTTTGGGGTCTGCGTTTCCTGAATTCAAAGCCACTGATATTTCAGAGCTCAGCTATTTATGAGGTGCCTTATTCACACAGTGATAGAGGTATTAGAATAATATTTCTTTCAGGCATTTATCCTCAGTCTATCCTGTACTGGCACCGATCAAATGCATCTCTTTTTCACTTAGTAGCCAGAATTGTAACACAAAACTGTAAGATCATGACCCAAGCCAAATCATTTCTTTTCAAAGAGCAGTAGCAGCAATCATGCAGTAAAAAGAGGGACGCATCTATGTATGCACAAGATAAAGGCATTCAAACATTCATCATTCTTACTTTCCGCAGAGAAAACCACCAGTTCCATAAATGTGAAGCACATGTAATCCCGTGGTTACCCAGTGAAAAACCAAATGAAATGATTCATGACACTGGGACCAAGCCTGGCCTTTTTTGAAAAAACTTAAAGCACCATAAAATCAGTTTATCAACAGTATATTCTGCATAATTTCTTTCCATTTTAATAGCACCCATCAAACATGTTTTCCTGCAGCTCATTCTAGGTTAGCAAAAACACAACGATTATTATTTTTAGGTTATTATACACAAATGAAAACATACCGATGTATATTATATTCCATTTCTGCCAATAGATCCTCCTACATTTACACACTGGCTCCATTAATGTATCCAGTGTGAAGTACAACACTCTGTTTTCTTCAGCTGAAAGTGTCTCAACTGTGAAATCAAGAGAAAAAACATTCCTGAGCCAATGTCGAATTTTACTATAGGCTGCTGTTTTATTAAAGGGGAATTCCAACTATTTAATACTGTACATGGGGTCAGTTCACTCATCACAAGGAGTACTACAAAACCTGTGAAAACAGTTGAGCTTTCTGAAGTGTGAAAAAATCCCTATCTTGGATTGGGTTTAGAGGTTTCAAATTGATTACGGAAAACCTGGATTACAAACTGAAGTTGTGGGATTTGAAAAACATGGGCATTTATCAGTAGGTCTAATCCAAGATGATATTGAATTTCATTTAAGAAATGTAGGTTCCAGCATTTATTCTCAGCTTCACCCATGATAGGGACTGAAAGTCAGGATCTTGGCCTGTGCTACTTCAAATTTGACCAAAATCTTGTATAAGTGTATAACACAAAATCACTGGAGTACTCCTTTAACTGCTGAAATTGTTCCGTTTACAAGTAAATTGAACGGTCATTATATGGTTCTTTAAATATGGCTATTTGCTGGAAACTGTAAAGGTTGAGCAACAAAGACGTTCTATTACATTGCATAATCGAAGTTACACCAACACATCTTTACACTATTGCTCTATTTATTGGATTCGGCGAGCCCATCCCTCCACTTGCATTACTTAAAGTGACTCAGTTCAATAAATGTACTTTCTCCTCAACCAACCATTAACCCATTCACACATACACTGTCTCTCCTCATCTTGTTTGCATGGGTGAGGCGATCAGCAAAATGGATTTCTAGGATTACACCAAATGGCTGCTAACACAATCAGCCCACAGAACTAGTTACAGAAATGTGATTGGAGCCAATTGGAGCGACAACGAAATCTCATCAGCAGCTCCTGAATTGGTTGCTATGCTTGGGGGACCACCTGAGATGTGTGTTGCAATTTCATTTTGTGGGAAAATCGAATATATGCGCCGCTCCCCAAAAAATCTCTGACTGCAGTCTCTCGCCTGTTAATCAGCATTATTCTCTCACTACTATGCCCATGGCAGCCCAAGTGCAGCAGGATGTATATTATTATTTATTTGACTGAGAGGCAGATCGCTTTATAATGGTTAATTAATTAGCCTTTCTTAAATGTTTAAAGCGTTTGCTGACTGTACTGCCAGCTTTTCTTACAAGAGCCTGAACAAAGCTTTGTGGCGGCCTTGTAGTAACCAGAGATAGAGAAAGTGAGAGGGCACACGCACATACAGAAGGGACCTATTACTTCTGTTTCCATGGTAACAGCTGCTTGGTTGCTTTGTCGCCATAGGAGCCAGGTTTCCCTAGGAGATTAATCTGGCATGTGTGTCCCTGTTTGTGTGTGCGAGTGTGTGTGTCTGTGCATGTGTGTGTGTGTGTTTGGAAATAGCGTTTTGCCAAGGCCGTCTGTGCAACCCACAGAGTCGTTGTTCTCAGCCCTGAAGGACCGGATAGGAAATAGGTGTGGTCTCTTAAAACGCCACTGATTCGAAATGCAATTGCTTCCCTTATATGGTCATACAGAGTGTAGCTCCTCCTTCTTCGACAGGAAAGACTGGAAGCATCTCTCAGACCACAGTCGGGTGGATTTAAATGTCCTTGATATTTTTTGACCCCTGTGTGTTAGGAAATATGAACAAATAAAAGATATCATTGTCCAGTAAAATAATATCTAGCTATTATTTTACTGGACAACAACAGAATTCTATAATAAAAACATTTTATAATCATTAAGATCCTAGGAAAGTTAGACAAATCTTCTTTTTCTTAAGATTTTTTTTAGATTGAAGTTTGTGTTCATGCCAGCTGATATAGACAGGAAGTATGTGAACAGTTATATGCTATGGGTTTTAAGCACTAAGCAAGAAGATTTCCCTTTTTCCCTTTATTAAATAGCATCATTGCACACTGTCTTCCTCTTTTTGTCTTTTACAGTTCATGCCGTTCATACAACCTGAACCTGTTACCTGCCCACTCGCTGTGAGTTCTTATATGTTTGTATGCATGTGTGTGTGTGTGTAACAGAAATTTGCCAAGGGCCAGACCCTGCTGGACATGGTGTGTGGCCATCTGAACCTGCTGGAGAGGGACTACTTTGGCCTGACTTTCCAGGACACGGACAACTCCAAGGTCAAACACACAGAAGCACCAATACACACACACACACACACACACACACACACACACACACACACACACACACACACACACACACACACACTCACACATGCAGAGATATCACACTTGGGGACATTACATATATTTATTCATTCTCAGGTCTGTAACTGAACCTCTTGACTCATCTGTTGACTCATACAACATGTGATAATTGAATATAGGAGCCGTCAGAATTCTAATTTTCTTGATGGTAATCTGGCATAAAATGCTAAAGCAGTTGTATAGTTGTTGTGTTTGTTATACAGTGATGATTATTAATAATATGTGGGGGTAATTTAGATCCTTCTGTGGATCTATTCTGTGAATAGCTTTATAGAGTGCAAGGCCAACATAGTAAGTCTATGTTATTTAATTTGGTCTTTCTTTATGCCTGCTTTTACTATATTATATTATTTGGATTTTGTCACTGAATTCAGAGCAAATGTCAATCACCCCTTTGGCAAACCAGTCCATTTAACCAGACTGTTTTTCCAGGTGTAATAAAGCAGTGAGTCCCTGGTTGGCCTTTTAACCGTGCTTAAGCACTTACGGCCAGAGTGTGGCATACATGGCCTTTAACCTTTTAAAATGTGATTAGACTGTATGGCCTTTTAAAAACGGTACCCGGGGTCTACAGTGCACCATGAAAGCTGTGGTGACATTAAGCGGAGGGAGCTAGATTCAACTGGCATTTATAGCCCCAGTATTGATGCTTTCAATGTTTATAGAAGCCTTCATCCATTTCCTTGTAGCATGAATATATTTGGCTTTCAACTAGGGAATAGATTTAAAAAGGGAAGAGCAGTGCTTAAAAGGGCTCTTAGAAATTTGAATATGGTTGATTTTGCTGAGGTGGAATTTCTCAAAGGCGATTGTCTCCTTCTTTTTATATCAGAATTGGCTTGATCCCTCCAAAGAGATTAAGAAGCAAATTCGGGGTAAGTGCAGTAGACACACACCCACACACACACTCACACTTTAATGAACAGGCAGTCCTTCACAAAACATAATTTCTGGTGGTTTATCCACAGTTGGTTCCTGGGTCTTCGGATTTTCTGTCAAGTTCTACCCTCCAGACCCGTCTGTGCTCATCGAGGACATCACCAGGTAGGTCTGAATACAACAGCATGGACTTTTTAACTCATAGTTAAAGAAAAATGATTTGCTTTGGTTGTCTGAAGTTAATATGCGAGTTGACACCAGGACATTTTTGCTTTGGTAGGATGCATAGAAAGAAAAGAACAGCTGAGACAGAGTACCCTATGCAGGGAGCTAAATGCACAAATAGGCTTTTCAATCAAAGTGACCACAAATCAGAAAATGATGAGATATCAAAAACAATAGTTAAACCAAAGATGCTGTCAGAATAAATTTGCACACTATCAAGGAAACTGGATTCAATTAAGTGTAGACTAGCTTGCTTTCAAATTAGATGCATTTCTGATGGATCAACATAGGAAATACTGTACACACTATTGTAACACACAACACTCAGAAGAATGTAGTAAACATACACAACATGATGCAAAAGTAAAAGTAGGAAGAGAAACAGTTAGCAGCAAATTAGCTTACAGTTAGCCTTGAATGTTGTATCACAACCATATTAGCCTCAGACAGCTATAGTGTTAGTGTTAGTGTAAGTGGCTAGCTTGGTTAACAGCCCACTGATTTCAGAATAACTAAATTAAAAACAAAAAAACACAAAACATCAGAAACACAGCCATAAGTATCTACAGAAAATGCTCCAACAAGTGCATTGGGGGTGTAGATAAAAGATGCCTGTCAAGATTTTCTTGGTCACATTTCTGACGAGAGGCTGGATGTAACAATGCCGGCAGTGGTTGCCACTAGCAACAGAATGTTCAACTAAAACCAGCTGCTGCTGACAGAACAAGCTTTTTTTAACTGAAGTCTTTATGAACTCGTTGAACATTATGAACTGTTACGTGACTGTCTTTGTTGTTTAATGGGCACAATGTGGTGTAAGACACAAAAAAACCTATCAAAGATCTTTTGAAACAACACAGTTCAATCTGTAAGCCAGTATTTCTAATTCTATTCAGATACTCTCAGTTTTATGTGCCAATGTTGTGAGATTTTTCTGATCTTATGCCACTGCAAGGGAGTTTGTCATTTGTGGTGGTCAACATGTGTTTTACATAAAACCTCCCCAATAATCCACACCAGTGGTGTAGTGGTGCCTGGAGAAGTGGGTATGCTAATTTATGACCCAAATTTATTTTAAAGAGGCCCGTCCAGCGAAGGATAAACGCCATATGTAATAAACAGTGACATGTAAGACTACTCTTGTATATTTAGCTCACCCAAAAATGGGCCAGTAGTATTTGCAGATTGTCACTTAAATTCTGCTGCTTGATTTTATGCAGTAAGGCTTATTATGAAAATATTTTACATTTTGATGTAACCTTACTCCTTACTTCATCTACTTGTGAAAATTGGACAACTATGCTATCCTAGGAATTGATTGCAGAACATTGAATGACTCTTATTAAAGGGGATTTAGAAGTGGCTATATTCAATGCCTCCGTATACCTGTGTATACCCTGCAAAACCCTACTGATCCACACAACGTCCTGCAAGTTCCTATCTCAACTTTTTTCTGTCAACAAGTAGTCAATTGCCAAAAACTGTATTATTTTGCAGTTTTCATTAGGACCCATTTTATTCTTAACTGTTGAGAGTGAAGTCTGAGGATTATCCTAAATATCTGTGAAATTGTTTCTGGAATAATATGTTGCTGAGTTCTTCAGTGAGTTTCCACCACAACTCTGTTGGATTGATGGTGATTATGATCTAAAAACCCCAACAAATAGCACTATAAAAGTAAAAGAAAACAATCCTTTATGGTCATTTGAGAGAACTGTGTTTTACTGTAGGATGGACAAAGACAGTCAGTTGGCTGGAGCTAAGTCCGAAGCCCTACTACATCATCCATCTAATTGATGCATAGGATACTGACTCAGTCAATATACAGAAGCTTAAGGATGAATACTAAACCCAGCTGTATTCTTTTACATTTTATGTTGTGCTGGAGGGAGAATTAGCAGACCAGGGCCGACTTAGAAGAATTCTACCTTTAAAAATGTTCATACGCAAATATACAATGAGCTAAATGTTGGTTTTAACATATTTAACAGGTTAAGTGTTAACCATGTTCACCATCTTAGTTCAGTGTGTTACCATGCTAACACTCGCTCATTCGCACAAACCACAAAGTACAGCGGTGCTGATGGGAATGTCATTAATTCTGCAGGTATTTGGTCACACACCAAATTAGTGGACATGAGTAGAATTTTGATCTGATGAGGGCAGTAAATTAAATTAAGCAGATCACCAAAGATTCATCCTCTGAGCCAGATGAATATCTGTGCAAAATGTCATGGTAATCCATCCAATAATTGTTGAGATATTTCTTTCCGGACCAAGTGGTAGACAGACAGACATACAGGCAATGTCAAATAAGGACTGTGACTGACCCGTTCAACAGTTCTTTTCACAGATGTTTTCCTGATGATGTAGAGACTTGAAGTGTCAGCAGTATTTCTGCCTCCACCTCCTGCGTTTCTTTAGGTACTACCTGTGCCTGCAGCTGAGGGACGACATGCTGTCCGGTCGTCTGCCCTGCTCGTTTGTCACTCACGCCCTTCTGGGCTCTTACACCGTCCAGGCTGAACTGGGAGACTACGAGCCCGAGGAACATGGCCCCGACTATGTCAGCGACTTCCGCTTTGCGCCCAACCAGACACGTGAGCTGGAGGAGAGAGTGATGGAGCTGCACCATAACTATAGGTCAAAGAAAATATGACTTCATTAATTAAATTAAATGCCATAAAGATAATGAGAAATGCTGGTATTTTTGATTTGTGGGATTAATATGAGAGAAGAGATGAATCATGTGTGGCATTTGTGTTGTAGGGGAATGAGTCCAGCAGAGGCAGAGGTGAACTTTCTAGAAAATGCCAAGAAGCTCTCAATGTATGGAGTGGACTTGCATCATGCTAAGGTACATAGAAAAACTCTCAGACATTTCATCTGTCAATGCACTTTTGTCATGGTTTTGTGATGCTATCTATGCCTGTGTTCACCAGGATTCAGAAGGAATTGACATAATGCTCGGCGTGAGCGCCAACGGTCTGCTCATCTACCGAGACCGTCTAAGGATCAATCGATTCGCCTGGCCAAAAATCCTCAAGATCTCCTATAAAAGAAGCAACTTCTACATCAAGATCCGCCCAGGAGAGGTAAATAAAAATTGTCATTATCTTGTATTTTGCATCTTGCCTGACTGAGGAGTTCACTGCACAATTATTGCATGCACAATCCCAGCTCATAACAGTCACTCTGGCAAAGCCGAGGCAAGCGGAATGAGGGATCATTTGGTAAAGAGCCAACTCCACATTTCTATTTCATGGTTTCACAGTTGTTAAAATTACATCATTGTCTCTCTTGACTCGTCCAAAGCTGCATAAATAGTCATTTCATGGTTTGATAAAAGTGTTACTTTTGTGATTTATCTGCAGCAAACCATGTGACAACTGACGAGGACTATTTTTTCAGACATTATTTATAGCCCTCAGAGCTACTGTTGTTAAAGATTAGGCTGTTAGGTAAAGTTTTTATTCTCCTCCGTCTCTCTTCCTTTGTGGCTGCGTGATTAACCAGTGATGAAGATTTGCACTTTCATCAAGGATTTTACTTGCAAATGTTTGAGCCACATTATGCTCGCTCTGGTCCCCTAAAATTATTATGATTTGCTGTTTCTTCCGACATTCTTTGGCCTTCAGGGTATCGGCAGTGTGTTTTATATCCACTGTTAAACTGACATTGACATGTTCATTGTGAATACCAAGGCCATTCTGTGCATATACTTTGTTCTGCAGATCTATCCTCTTAAGTCAGCTGTCACTTCAAATTTGCCTGAAGCGTCGTCATTGTGTTTTAAAGCCCTTTTATTTTAAACTGTCCCCACAGATTTTTTTGTGTGGGGGAAAAAAAGTTGGCTTTCTCTTGTGAATGGATGCCTCTTAATTCTTAAAAGCCTGTTATATTGCTAATAACCTATTGATTTGAAAGCGTCTTTTTCTGTTCACACCACTGAACATCTGATGGAGTGAGAGCGTGAGCGGCTAATTTGTTGGTTGGTTAGAGATGGAAAATCTACCTTACAGTAGGTGACACGAGAATATATTTCTACCAGTAAACAGAAAAATAACATTGATTTTCCCATTGCTGCGGAGTAAACGGAATTCACCCTGCTACCATCCCTCCATCTTAACCCTCACTCACTCCCTTCACTCTCCTTTTCTTCTTCACCTCCCTTCCTCTTCCTCCTAATCCTCCTCCACTCCTTCCCCTCACTGCTCAGTATGAACAGTTTGAGAGCACCATAGGCTTCAAGCTGCCCAACCATCGGGCCTCAAAGCGATTGTGGAAGGTCTGCATTGAGCACCACACCTTCTTCAGGTAGGACTTGATGCTCACAGATACACAGACAAACACACTTTTTCTGCCCGGCATGAAATCCTAACACTTGGCACAGTAGAGCTATCCTTTAAGTGACAATCATCATACAAATGTGTTAATTCCTTAACTTTTCATGGTAACACCTTTTTACAGATCCCGTAGTTGGAAAGGAACTGATATTTGTACGGTAAATTCGTAGGAAGGTTCCAAAAGAAGACATGGTGATTTGCTACTAATTATAGGGAATATTGAGAAAGATATCACTAAGTACACTTCTAATTAATTAATTCAAATTAATTGATATTGTGATGCCTTTAGTTAGTGCACAGCAGGTCAACTGAACTTGCAAATATGTGGAATTTGTTTACAAGCAACCATACAATGCATCACTTATGTAGTATAAAGTTTCTATAATTCATTATTCCCTTGGGTTTTTCCAGTCAACTTCAATGAAACGATCGATACTTTCATGGTAAATATGAAGCTACAGCCAGGAGATAGTTAACTTAGCTTATGACTGGAAACAGGGGGAAACAGCTACCCAGCCTTACTCTGTCTGAAGGTAATGAAATCTGCCTTCTTACCTCTAAAGCTCACAAATGAACACCTTATAGTCTGCCCGTACGAAGTGTAAAAGTGTAAGCTTTTTGACATTGTGGTTTAACAGGACCAGGCTATTTCTTGGCTAGGCACAGTATATTTTTAGGAAACTTCACACGAAATTATTAGAACATTAAGGACCAGTAAAATGTAAAGGTTACCCCTCTTTCTCTTGTGTATCAGGCGCTAAACTGTATAATTAGGTAAAAGATGTCGACAAGGAGTATTTGTGGTAGATTTACACAAACTGAACTTCCCTGCAGGTTGGTTTCCCCAGAGCCGCCCCCCAAGGGTTTCCTGGTGATTGGCTCCAAGTTTCGCTACAGTGGGCGGACCCAAGCCCAGACCAGACAGGCCAGTGCTCTGATCGACAGGCCTGCCCCACAGTTCGATAGGTCCGTTAGCAAGAGGTACATGTTGCCTCGAAGCATTGATGGAGGTAAGAACCCCGACCACTTCACTGTCCACATGGATGTTCATTTATCAGCCCACTGAGATATGTGACCCTGTCATGAAAAAGCTTTAACACTGTAGTTCAAGTGGTTGATGTTTTCCTCCCCTCACACTTCACTAGCCTCAGCTCTAGGTGACAGTATGGACCAGCTGTCCCAGCGAAGCTCCAGTGAACGCACACAGTTCATGTCCAGAGAAGACCTGGACCAAGAGGGAAGCCTGGACCTGGACCACGAACAGTACCACTATCAGGACCAGGACCAGGACCAGTACACAGATCAGGAGCTAGAGCAGCATGACCTTCACGACCACGATCAGTTTCAGAAGTATACTCGGGGTGCAAACATCTCAACTCCCACAAAGACTTTGGAGCTCAAGGTACAAGATGAGAGGATACGACAAATACACAGAAACCTGCCTTTATTGCAGCTCTTGCTGAGTTGGTTTATTACTGTTATTGAGCCACAGCCAGTCAATTAACAATGAAAATGAAAAACACTCACCTGATAAATTAAATATTTCCTTTCAAGTGTATATTATAGTTTTTAGGAGAGTACAATGAAACATACAAAAGCAGTTCCACTTGGAAAAGTACACAGCAGTTGCTGCGCCCCTAATGGGAAAGATCCCTCATGAATTTCTGACTAACACTCCTCATCCTTCTCTCTCACATTCCTTTTCATTTGAGACTGTAATCACTATCCCTACCTTTTCTCTATTTGGCCTAATTTACACAATTTTCTGCTCCTTCCCAGACTTATAAGTCAGTTCTCAGTTTGAGTCCTTTCTTCTCTACATTTCTTAAATCGCCTCCCAAAAATCTAACTTGACCTCTTTGCTGCAGAAGTTATTTTTTTAACCCAGCATCCTGCAGTTCTTCTCTTCTCCCTGCTGTAATATTAACAGACTTTGCTAACCACTGCTCTCTTCTCTCTGACCTCTCTGCTGTCCACCCCGTCCTCTCCTGCAGGGTGAGGAGGCAGGCTCGCCTGTAGACTCAAAACCAGAGGTATTTTGGCCTTGGACCTTAGTGTCTGTCTCTGTGGTTTTGGTGGTTGTAGGTCATGCATCCGTACTCTGTGTTTTGTTCAACAAAATTCCTTTTTTTGATTGTTTGTCTCTGGGGAATGTTATTTCTTTTCATGTCATGGTTTCCAGGATTCCTGATTCATGGAAACTGCATGAATCGATCTTCAGATGAATAGAAACTAAATGTTTAATATACATTTATTCAGGCTCTTTCTTTCTTTTTTTCACGTCTGCCCACTGGGAAATAGTTTTAGTGGAAATGCATATTAGAGTTTCTTCATGGGCATTTAGTTCTTATCCAGATTGACTGAAGCAATACAAGTGTAGAAAGCTTGCCAGCTTTTTTAAATTGTCAACACATGTTCAAACACGTGCATCTTTAACAGTGTCCCTGTGTGAAACTAGAGGGATTGATTGTTATTAGCAGGATAAACAGATGGCCCTTAAGCACTGTTGATGATTCAGTGAATCAGTGGTTCCCCAGTTGACAAATCTCCTGGTGTGCCAGGTGAGCATGCATCAAAATCCCAGTATTTTATTTCATTAATAATCATTTTTAAATTGTTTAAATGCAAAACAGGCTTTCTAGATACACATTCTTATTTGTTGTATAGATGCTCAGGAAGTTCATCTTTAAAAAATGTATATGGGAAAGTTGGTTCCAGTGTATTTAGTCTCATATTATTCCTATGCGCGTGGTAGTCTTATTGAGTACTGCAGGAGATATTGGCATCGCATTAGTCACTAAAACGGTCTGTTCATTTGTCGTTTTGTAATGCCTTCTCACCAAATCTCTGGATGAAGAAGTATAGGAATAATCCCCCTCTCCAAGCACTTATGTTCAGTCAATAGATGACTGCATTAATTGTCAATTGGCTGACACTGAAAAAGGATTGTCCCTGTCTTCTTGGCAGAACATTAAATGGCTTAACAGTCTTAGTCAAAAGCCCCAATGGTGTCAACTGTTTCTGTTGTCTGTCCGTCTGGCCGCCTGCCTCTTTGACTCACCTGCAGCACTTTACCTCTTTGTCTCTGCACGCATCTGTTCTCCACACCCCCAATCCTCAACCTCCTGCTTTGCTCAAAACCCTTCACTTCATCTCACTTGCCCCACCTCGGGCTCCCTCATCTATCGGACAAGGATCTGGCCACCCCGCGGCCAAAACAGGAGGTACTGCTTGTCCTCTCTTTTTGGCATGTGCTGTGTGTGACCCTCATCAGGTGTGCTGTGTTTTCTTATTCATAACTGTGCCTGACAATAAACAGCAATAGCCGTGGAGTTCATGTTAAAACATTTGGGTTATTTATTATATATTTCGTTCAGTGAACTGTTTTCTTAAATGCATGCCAGTTTCATATTTTCCGAACAATATTCCCTGTTAAAGTCTTTTTCTGTTATATGTGTAGACTTTGAATAATTACAAACTTCAGTGAGTTTGGGGCTTTGTGCTCTATCCTCCGAAGACTGGTAGGTGCTCACTAAGGCAGAGTGCAAGTGGTTATTTGTCAATGGTTTTAAGATGTACAACAACAACAAAGTCCTTTTTGGAAAATATACTGTTAAATGAAGTTTGTCCCTGTAATCTGAGTGTACAGTAATGAAGTCTATATAAGTTTCTGGTGTAACCTTGTAACAACACAGCCAAGTGGTGCCATTTTTAATTCATTAACACAGTTACAATACAAAAAACACACAATCATGCACCACACCCTCCTCAGAGTTAGAGTACACATTTACAATGAAAAACCTCCAGGTTCATTTTCAACTTAAATCCATATCTAGTTCAATGGTATAAATGACTGTAACTTTAAAATATAGAGCTAGGATTTGAACTAATATTAATTTATGTCCTGGTGTGCCCTTCACTGTGTAAGCAGCAGTTCTTGGATAAACCAGAGGATGTTCTACAAAAGCACCAGGCCAGCATCAATGAGCTGAAGAGGGCTCTGAGGCAGCCCAATAGCAAGATGGTCCAGAGGGAGAAGCGCCTCTCCTCAGCTACCCCTCCTGGAGGAACCCCCGAGCGTAAACCAGTAAGAACGAGATTCTCTTCCCAAGTTACAACACTTACTATACTACAATTTGTATGCTATATTTTACGATTTTCAGAAAAGTTTATATTGGTCACCCGTTCCCATCCTCTCTATTCTCTGTCAAAATGTTGATTCCTCTGAGCCGAAACACAGAAAATCAGATGAAACAGTCGTAGGTGCCCCAGTTAATCACTGTTTTTCTTCACTACAGTAATTAAATGGGGTAACAATAATAGCTCAAATGGAAGAGCAGTTTATCTAGCTAGGCTAATGCAACTGTCTACTCTATGTTAACATAGGCGACTGGTGATGCCATATTGTTTGACAAGCAGGATGCTTATGAAGGAGTGCTGGATACTTACTCTAAATTGGAAACAAGTAAAACCTCTTCTGTGGGTAGTGACACGTTCTCTGTGACACCTTGGACTGAAGCGAATATGAACAACTTTCAGACACCCTGGGACTCTTTAAAAACTAGACCTGGAACATCACCAAAACAGCAAACAGACTTCACAGCAACAGGACTAACGGATATGAACGCCATGGATGAAACAGGAGCAACTAACGGGCATCATGATTCTGTATTTGCGAGGAATGTCATTCAGGAAAATGGATATGGATCTCCACCGGGCAAACAGAGGAGTGCACTGATCAACAGAGATATGAGGCATTGTCAGTATGAGCACAATATTCATCGAGAGAGACCAAAGACCTTTGAAACTCCGGTGGCTGTGGACTCCCTCCCAACGGGCAATGGGGGCAGAAGTGAGAGCGACATGAGGCATTGTGAGGCTTGGAAAATAAAAGACACAAGCCCCATGCGAGCGAAAGATTGCAACAAAACGGGGAACTCACACTCAGAAGTCACCAAAATAGTTCCACTCAAGCCACAGAGATCAAAGAAGTCTTTGAATAAAGAGAACAAAGGTGTTGTAAACTCTCAAACTCAAAGCCAGTCTGATAGATGCGCCTTTGCTGCGACTGGGGATGTACAGATGACAAAATCAAAAGATGGATCTTGTGAGGCAGGAAGTAGAGTGGATAATACTGTACTGCAATCTGCTACAGATGTTGTCAAGGAAAACACAGGGCCCACCAAATACCACGGTGAAGCTGCAATGTCATATCAGCAGCAATCTCCCCTGCATCAACAGATTAAGAAGGAGTTGTTTGGACAACAGGAGCTCAGAGACAGCAGAGGTACAACTGGGCAAAGTCAGTGGGCAAGAGGAGGCGTGCTACATGAGGATCATTTTCAAAACAATTCGGACTTTAAAGAGAATCTCCTCTCTAGCTCCAAATATCCGACCGCTCCCCCTCGAACTCTTCCTCTGAAAACACAGTGGTCCCGAGACAGACAGAGCAACATGGATAACAGCCACATCCACTACAGGACGCCTGGCCAAGAAACAGCCAAGAGGAAGCAAGCGGTAAACCATCTGCCCCCTAACCTGTTTGTCCATCATCGGACTGTAAAACATTGCATGAGCTTCAGGCAACTCTTGTTTTTACCATCCAAAAAAACAAAAACAAAATCACACACATACTTCAGAACTCATGTGGCTGTTTATGAGAAAGCAAAAGTTCACGTTCCTCCGCATCGCATCATTGGCCCAGAGAGCTTTTTGCTTTCCGTTGTTCCCCCTCTGCAAAGCTTGACATCTGCTTGGCCATTTCAGAACGCTTCGGGCCTTTAAGCAAAGCTCACAATGCTTAAGCTTCAGGCGTCCCTTTTATCTCACCTTAACTTGTCACGTTAACACCTGGTCTCTCCTTCCAACATCCTCACAGGATAAAGGTGGCTGCTGTTGCAAGGAGCACAAGACCTTTCCACCATTTTTCTTTTTTATACCTCTTTTTCACATAATTTAAATCCTTTTTGTAAATGGCTGAGAAGGGCATTTGAACCAAATGTTCTGCCTTGGCACCTCTGTAGCAATAGCAGAAAATGAAAATGGCGATTAGATGTAATCACAGGCTGCAGACCTGCCAAACCTCTTCAGGGCTTAGGCATTCATATGCTGAATTTACGAATATGAATACCTTCTTCCTGCAAGTGATTTTGAAAAATCGAACCTTTCAGTGCATGGCATTACCATTGCACTGCCAGTCATTTTTAATGATGTCAACCTGTGAAATATACCCTAATGTGCATGCTTCTGACAGTAGCCTAGTTGTACAGACTGGAAATTCTGGGTGTTTCTGGTGCAAGTTTAACGTAAGCCCTGGGGTTGGTGGATGAATTGTAATTGAACAATTTAAAAACAATAAAAACAACAACAAACACAATGAGCTACACCCAGTACAAATCAATTAGCGTAAAAGCTGAGTAGAGAATAATGCTTTTATCAGCTGTGCGCTGCAGACAGAATGTCAGTGCAGTGACAAAAAAACCCTCTTTACTGTCTGTTTCTGCTCGCTCCTTTTCTGATACAATTACGCATGTTAGCTACAGTATAGATAAGATAGGTATCATGGTTTGTCGTTGTTGTAATTTCTATGAGTTGACACTTTTTCTTATTTTACATTAATGTTTGCTTGCTGTTTGTTTTTCTTCTATAGGAGACACCTCCCACACCTGCTATTCATGAGGAGCCTCTCAACGAAGCTTCAGTGAGTCATCTCTCAGCTCCACCAGTCTCTAATTTGCTTTTCCTCCTTTTTTAGCCACACCTTTGGAAATGAGTAAACAAACTATACTTACTATTTAATACATTTTTCTTCAAGATATTTATGTTTATATTTAAAATGTAGAAATGATCTCCCCATTCTGGTTTCATTTAAAGGTCCAGTGGGTAACAATTAGCAGTAGCTATTGGCAGAAATGGAATATAATATTCATAGGTTTTCATTAGTGTATAATCACCTGAACATAAGAATCACTGTGTTTTTGTTACCTTAGAATGAGCCATTTTTATGTATTTTTATGTCCGCCATGTTTAACTGCCATGTTCCTACAGTAGAATGGACAATCCAAACATAACCAAACATTTTTTGACAGTTTTATGGCCACCATAGTTTCTCCTAAACACTTGGAAGGCTGGTTGCAATATGAAACTTTACCACTAGATGCCACTGAATCCTACACACTGGTCCTTTAAAGCCATAAATGTATGTCTCATAAATGTGAAAACCCCACTACCAAAATTCCAAATACATGATTTTACATTACACAATAACTAAATTTCATTTCTAACGTTTTCTGATGCTGTTATATGTTTTGTTTGTATCAGTAGTTATTGGAAAATAAGCTTACATTCTTAATTCTGATGCATTTTATTCAATTCTTTTTCTTTTTCTGTAGCTCACAGTCTTTGATTTTATTATATGTAGGTATATATATATATATATATGTGTTTTAAATTGTATTAAATGTTCTGCACTCTTTTCTGCAGAGGGAACCATGGGAGAGACGTCTGGGCTCTGTCTCCGAGGATGACCAGGACCATGAGATCCTGTACCTGAAGGAAACCCACCTGGGCATTGAGCGCAAATGTTCCAGCATCACGGTCAGCTCCACGTCCAGTTTGGAGGCCGAAGTAGATTTCACTGTCCTCACGGACCTGCACACGGGCATGGAGGAGTTCTCCAGGGGAATGTCAGAGCTTGGAGACAGGGATCTGTCACCTGATGGTGGTCTGTGCTTTGGCATCGACCTGCTCCAGCAGCAGGGCCCATCTGAACCGCCTTCTCCATTAGTGTCAGCTCCTCTGTCCAGAGGAGCCAGCAGCAGCCCTCCAGCCAAACATATCCAGACTGAAGAAGTCCGACCAGAGGTCAAACGGTCCGATGTGCAGGTAATGCAGACCAGAGTTTTCCTATCAGTGTGTGTGGAGCACTTAGAGGCTTCTACTCTTTCAGTTTGAATTGTTCAGGCAGGTGAGAAGAAGTCAGCTAAAAATATACACATACAAGTGTTTCATAGTTTTTAACTAGATGCACATGTGAAATAAATAAAAGAGTACAGGCAAGTGTTTTGCCGAAACAACACAAAGTAGAACTGGATTGCCTTCTTCCCCAACCCCCCCTCACATAACACCAGCATATCCCTCTCTTAGTGCTACCCAAGTTTCCAACAAAGCGTGATGACAGGCCACCAAAGCGAGCTGTTGATGAGGTCATGCAACTTTTGTTTACAAGCTCTAGTTTGCCTGTGCAGTCGTTGGTCAGTGTGAATGTGAATGAAATGTACAAAAATAGAACAGTGACAACTTTTCCACTGTAGTTCAAATGAAAAGAAAAAAAAACAACAAAAACGAATTGTGGTGCGATCACACCCGAGGTGTTTGTCACAGATTTCGATGTGTTTTTCTGTGTCTAGTGTTTAGTCAAAAAGCTGTAGGGTGTAGAGGCCTATAGTTTAAAATGTACATTAAATGTATATTGCTTCTGAAGCACTGAAATCCAGCAAAGCACATTGTAACTGGCTGTAATGAAACACGCTGACAGGCAATGTGTTTATTGCACTTTGTCATGATATGATATGAAAGACCCTTCATATTTTCTCTTTGCTGTTTTCCTTTCTTCTTTTATCTTTTTTGCAATATAAAACATCTCTCTTAAGCATTGAGCTCAAAACACATTGTTCATTTGCTCTTTTGTTTGTCTCTGTGCATTAGAAATATTTTCATGTTTACATGTGCTTCCAACTTTAACTCTTTTTGAAGTCCTATTTTTCACTGAATTTAAGTAATAGGCAACAGACCTTCAAGCTCATCTCTCATATGTGTAAAAACTAAACTAGTCTTTTTTTTATTTCACGTAAGCCTGTAGTTCCCAAAAAACCAAAGAGGTCGGTGCCAGTGTCATCGTCAGGGGACAGAGAACAGTCGCACAGAGAAGCCGGTCGGGCATCTGCCATCACGCCACTGAGCAGGGAGGCCAGTGATGTCATGCCCACACCAACAGTGAGGAAGACAGATGTCAGGACAGAGACTCAGCCCAACGGGTCAGAGGTCACCACGACCATTGTGGAGTTCACAGATCAGGTGAATTTAATTTTCTTGTGAAAAATATTGTAATTAGAAATAATATTCGTTGCTAGAATGAAAATAAATATGTTTCATTATATTGTAAAATGGTAAAAAAAAAAGTGACATAATGTGTCTGTTTCAGGATCACAGCATCACTGGCTTAAGTGAAGTTTCTTACTCTACAAGACAGAGTGTATCCCCTGTGAGTACAAACAGAAAGACCTCTCCAATTTTAACTCAACTTGCAGCATACGCCTCCTTGCTCTCCAGGGTTTAAACCTACTTACAAAGACCAAAGACATGAATTCAAAAAGACATATGCACCTGCTTGGATGTCCTAAAATATTAAAAAAGAATGACTGGTTGTCTTGTCACCTGTAAGGAATTGTGCATAAGTGTGCGCACATTTGCCTAATTCCAGCTGTTGTGCTTTCTCAGGTGCACATGGGCAGTCTGGGAAGAGAGACGTCCGGGTCGCCCATCCTCGTCACTGAAAACGTTACCTCAGCAACCACTCACGTTACCAAGGTAGAGAAGCCTGAGTTGAACTTACAAAATGTATAATCATGATAAAGTGGGTTTTGCAACATGAGGAGGTACAGCTCATCTGCTCTGTCTGAAGAGAGTTGAATGTGGGCTCTACTTCTGAAAGGCTATTAAAAGAAAAGCTTTTGTGTGTTGCAGACGGTGAAAGGAGGATACTCAGAGACCAGGATTGAGAAGAGGATCATAATCACAGGAGACGATGATGTAGACCAGGAACAGGTGGGCTGAAGTGATCAAATGAACTGTGGATGAAACGGTAAAGTGAAAAGAACCACGAGCATGGTAGTTACTGGTTGTTGGTTTTTGGTGTTTTTGGACATTTGTAGTTGTTGGATCTTTGTAGGTAAGAAATACTGTTAATTTCTAATTGTCCATTCTGATTCTTTATTAATTTGGTACTGGAAGTATTTATAACCCGTATTTTACTGAAACACTTAATATCATTTGAATTTAAACATTGCCATGCCAAAAAGTCCTAGAATGAAATACATTTTAATATTCATATATTTTTGCAAAATTAGCCAACCTCAGATCAGATCAGCCTACTCCAGACATTGAATGAATACGAATAAGTGGATAAATGAAGTATGCAAAGAAAATCCACTGTTCTTTGTGAGTATTATTGTCATTGTTGGTAAATCTAGAAATACATTTTTTCAATTAATTATTAGACTATAAATATTTATTAAAATATACCCTGAGGTGACATCTTAAAATGCCAAGTCAACCCAAAGATATTAGGTTTACAATAATATATGACAAAGAAAAGCAGCAGATACTCACATTTGAGGCTGGCACTAGACAAAGTTTATTTGAATTGTTGAATTGATTTATTGGAATAATTAAGGAAATAATTGTTAAAAAAAACTCTATTTGCAAGCATAAAAAATGTCACACAATGTCTTTCCCAGTGTGGAAAAAGCTTTCTTTCTTAAATTGAAATTGTGTTTCAGTTTTATATCATTGCATAGGAACTGTATATAGTCTTGATCCATAAAACAGAGAGCTCAACCAATATCTTTAGATAGAAAAAGAAAAGTTGTATGTGTGTTCCTTTGATTCATTTTAGACAAGAAACACAGTTCATCCTTTCCTTGCAGGCTCTGGCTATAGCAATACAGGAAGCCAAGCAGCAGCATCCTGACATGCAGGTGACCAAGGCAGTTGTTGTCAGGGAAACGGAATCGTCCACTGAGGATCGACACGGTGCATCAGAGGTACAGGATGCCATCTTGACTCCAAACGATAATATCTGACCAAGATTTAGCCTCACAACCCCTCTTTTGAGGCTGAGGGATTTAAGGTTGACCATCTTTCCTTTCTTACCTGCAGTCCTGATTTCCTGAGACGAGAGTGCCCCCCTTTGGACCAGAAGTGTCAGTGCCCGACTTGAAATTGCCATCCACCATCCCTACTGATAGACTACTGCCAGTGGGGCTCAAATGGAGCCTCTTGTACACATTCACACACACAGACTTTTTTTTTTTTCATTTAAACATTTCACTTTTAAAATCATTCATTCCAGAAAGTCTTTGGGCGGCCATGCACCAAAAAAAGAATAAACATCGTTCATGGTCCTTGATTGGTCGCCAATATGCCGCCAGAAATCCAAACATCTGGAACAATTAAAGAGATAATCCAACTAAATTCCCTGCTAACCTTAAGTATTCCTCAAAGGTCAAAGGGAATTAGTGCAGTAGGGGTTTGTTAAGATAATCTGTGCACTCGTTCACACTGTGGAATAATCCAAGGTCACGTGCCATGTTGGTACCTATCCCATGCAGAAAGCATCATTTAGAAAACAGGAATATGAGAAAAAACATGTCATGAACGTCGTCTTCTATGTCTGTTCTGCTGTATTGAATCACATGAATCATCAGATTCCTGCTGTGTGTGCTGAAAAAACCTCCTGTGTGTGCTTACACTTTGTCAGGAGAACCCATTATGTGTATACATGTGTACTGTTAAAGCATCCAGTGAAGCAGGGTTTATTGAGAGCCGGGCAAATCCTACTTTTTAGTTTTTACTCTTGCATAACCAGTCACCATGAACAAATGAGCTTCGCCCCACCCCCAGATCACATTGACTAATGAGGATGCACTGAGTGGAAAGCATCATGTGTCCTCCAGTGGTGTTTATTCGATTGTTTGTAAAGAACCAAAGTCGGCGCTAGTCTGATCACATAACTTCCCTCTCTCTGTTTCTACCTTAAAGATTTTACTTCTGTAAAATGTATTTTACCATGATGTGTGAGTGGCATGTATGAAAGGATATGATTCGAGTTTCCTCCTCATAATGGACTTCGATTAGACTTTTTGACAATTTCTGTGTGCGTGTCTGGACATTAGGAGCTATTAATACACACAGTGTACCTGTTGTATTTATTTACATGGTGGCGATGTAGTTTCTGAGCATGCTGATGTTTCAGAATGACCCCAGTTCCTCTCCTTTCCCAGCCTTTAGATTTGCTTTCAGAATTCAGCTGGATAGAATACCACTTTGGCCATATTGTGTAGTAAGTACATAGAGTAGGCTCGCACCCTTGTTCAAGTCACAGAATGGGCTGCTGAATCAGTAAAACTAGTATTTGAGATTATGTTTGCATGATAATTTCTTGCATTATTGGATTGTAATTGAATAATATGGATATGGATATGGACTCATAAGGAGGATGGATCATAATATTTAGGTTAATGAAAGAAATCACAAAGATGTAAAGGCTGAATATTTCACAATCTCAAGTAAAATCTGAGCTCTGAAATTCAAAAAAGGAAATGAAGCTTCCTGACAGGAAATTAAGGGTATTCATTAGAAAAAGTTGGAAATATCAAGCGCATAATTCATTCAGTTTTGTTCATTCCAAGATCCAGTGACAATACAATGGCTACAGTTTCCTCCTTCCGTTACAGCCCCTTTAACAGTTTCATCTCATTTCAAACCACTGGTGCTGTTCAATATCTCTGACATATCAGTTTGCTTTTAATTTAATTTTCCTGTAAAGGAACATGAAGTAGGCCTGTCGTGCCTGCATTCAGTTTTTCCACTGCTGTTTATTGTACAACAAATTGCCTTCATCTTTCAACATAGCCTGCAGAAATGGTATTATGCATCTGAGCCCTTCCAGTACTCTTTCAAGCAAAGTACAGTGTTATAAATAAACTATACAGTAGGAGCAGCATCTCGGAACTTGTAGTTTTGTGTGATCTGGTACATGAATGTTAGAGGGATGCCATAGACATGTAGTGTGCCAATTAAGGTAGCGGTCAAATTGTATAAACTCTGATTTTGTATGAAAAAAACTTTATATGAACAAGCTACTTTTAATTACTGTAGTGCCAGAAAGTCAATTCCATAAACTTGACATGGCAAGGTTTCCCTTTAATTATGGTGTGTTTAACATAACCTGCAAAATTTCTGTCTCCTTGCAAAAGTCCTATTTTATATATAAATCAATGCAAGCTGCTGCAAGTTCACTCAATTGAGACAAAAACAATGTTAAAACTGTCATGTCAGGTTTATGAGGGTATCACTGAGGTATAACTGGCTTTCGAACACTAAACTTAACTGTCAACGTTCACATGTGTAGTGTAATTCCCGTTGTGTTTCATATTTAGGTTCCAAAATCCTTTGAAGTGACGGTTAAATCATGGATGTGGGTGTCAAACTGGAAGGTGGAAAAAAAAATAACACTGCAGACATGCATACCTTGTACTTTATATTTGGTGCCGTTTGGTGGATTGTGAAGACGTAAAGTAGTTAATGGACATGGGCTTGATGTACACTAGGGGGCACCCGTTACCTAAAAGAAGAGAGCTTTGCAACAACATCGAGCATACGCAGCTGAAATCCTTCTCACCTTTCTTCACATAGGGGGGTTAAATTATTCAAATCATCCTTGGATCAACCTGTAAGGTCAAACGTACCTTCCTCTGTCCAGAAAGGGCCTGCTCATGGATGTCTGACAGGTAATAAACAGACTGTGATGAATCACAGACATTTGTGGCTGTGGCTGAGACACCTGGTGCCGAAGTCTGATTGGACGACCTCTGGCTGACCCTTAAACCTAGCCCTCTCCTCTCTGTACAGCGCCCTCCTCCTCCTCCTCCTCCTCCTCTTCCTCCTCTACAGCAGCTTCATCTCTTCAGCTCTGCTGCTCTCCATTGCTTGGTGCTGTGTCTTTGTTGTACATTGTACTTGCATTCCTTCGAAATGAATAAAGAGAGAGAAAAAAAGAATAAGATAAGAAGGGAATCCCTTTGTTTGATCTCTTTCACGTCTGTTTGTCTTATCGCAGCTGGTACGTGCCCGTATACTTGTCCTCTAGGCCTAAAAATGAAATGCAGCTACTGTATTTTTCAATCATGAAAGAAAAATACAGTATAAAATAAGGTTTGGAGTTCTTACAGATCTACAGTTGTGTGCAATTTTTGATCACCACAATGTAATTGTTATATAATGTAGATAAATTGTGCTAAAACTCAGATGTGGGTCACACAACAGATACTTTTGAAGTTTAACACAGCCCAGTCTTTCCAGAGGCATAGTAAGTGTTATAGCAGCGTCAGGCAGAAACAGCATATGAAAAAAAATCAGCATCGATGTTCTCCTCCCTGGGAGAGCAGTGGGTGTGAAGGACACCAAACAAATCTAAAGAAGGACGACTACAGGCGTAGCTCTGCAGGTATCGATTGCACTCTTGAGTATCTGTTTTCAAAATATTGATCACAAGCATCAATGGAAGCAGAACAGAGAAAAAAAGTGCTGTTTTTTTTCTCTGTCACTGGTGTGATTTGAAGGGGTTGGGACATAGTGACAAAGCACAGAAATGTATTTATGACAAAAAGGCCTGAAGAGATTAAAATTTACATTCTGAAATTGCCATGTGGAGCCCTGATCTTTAATTGAATGGAATACTGCAGCATGACATGCACTCGATGCCAAACTCCAAAACTTAAAAAATTAGGTCTTGTGAAGAGAAATGGGCTGAAACACAGCTGCAGGATATATTCTGTTTAACTTTTCACAAGTTTATATACTCTTTCCCCCCCGAACAATAAATGTCTTAACAATATCTTCCACAAAGACACGCTTAAAGATATATTATTTGCTTGTTGAGATTGCACTGTGTAGACCTATTATCATAATTAATTCAATAAAATTAATGTAATGGACCAAAAGTGCAAACTTTAAAACTTTAAAGGTTTATCCTTGACCTTGGAAAAAGTAAAAAAATATCTTACCATGACGTCCACTTACTGGCTTTTTCCATAGCAAACTCCATCTGCTAAGTAACACCATAAGAGATTTACTTCAAATAGCCCATGACGCACAACTTCTTGGCCTCTTTTGACATCAAAAAAGAAATGAGGAAAATGGCATTATGTTTATTAAAAGCAGGTTGATCCATTCAGACATTCTAAGCAACGTAGGTACGTACATTGGCCAATCTCATGCCAAACAGCAGCTGACAGTAAAATACCATCCCTACCTTGTATTAAGCTATGTTAGAAAAGTCAGTAATCACTGCCACTTGTACTGTATTACAATGCTCATCATGAAAGACATAGGAGAAAAGGCATGTTGTTTCTGAGCCCAAAACGCCCAAAAATATGATCTAAAAAGTAACAAAAGTGAAAATTCTCAACATAGTGTACAGTAAGGTCAGTTATTCATAAATTATAGCATGAGTGAGCCCAAAAACGATGCGGATAAACACAGGAGGAAAATAAATAAAACGTCTCTTGAATAATAACAACATGGATAATAATCATAAGACTTAAGGCTCATTTGGGACCTGAGGATTTCATACATACAGTGTACAACAATGCGGCTCACACTGCTCAGCGTGCCTTTGTTACACACTTATCATGGATGAGAGAGGAAGGTAAGACATCAATTAATCAACACAAGCCTGCTGTTTACAATGGAAGCCATATTGGGGTGTACACGCTGCATTTTCTCACAATGATACAACAGGTGGAACTGAACCTTGTTGGCTCAATACCTTTGGTTACAGTCAGTTTCATGGCAACTATGAAGTTTAACGTAAAAGCATGAATAAAATCCAGGCAAAGTTACAAAGGTCCCAAATTCTGGTGTTTCATAAAGCAATGAGGCTTTGCTCCCTGTTTTGGGCAGGGATTTGTAACAGTTGGTTTTCCTTCTCAGACAGTGCAGGAAGTTTCCCAAAGACAGTCCAAAGAGAGGAGGGAAATGACTTTGCCAATTTATTGTCTTTAACCAAGCTTAAATATAACTTCACTCACATAAAAATGAGCAACGTTAAGTGCTTTTGGTCTCCTCCATCCCCAGGTAAGATAAAATCCCATCATCGAAGACATGAAAAGTTCAGAGGTAAATACATATCCGTTGAACAGAACCTGCACAGTCCCACAGAACAAAAAAACATATTCACATCCTATTGTGCATCACACACCACTGGGCCTCCAAGGTTAAAACCATATGAGAATATCCATTGGTCAGAAGGGAGCAAAGAAAGAAACATCTTCAAAGAGACTGCAGTCGAGTCGTGTCCTTTCAGTTTCATAAAAGCAACTTCTGAAAGCAGCAGTTCCTTTCAGTAACGCCTTTAGAAAGGTGGAGGAAAAGAATCCTCCTTACAAAGAGATCTTTGTAGAAAGAAGAGGAAAGACACAGTAGGGTAGGGAAGGGAGCAGGTGGAAATGCGGCTGTCAGCCTATGGTTGTCTTTGACCTGCTGTTTCTCCTCTTAATAAGCAGCTGTTGTTCCTGGTTCCTGCAGATGTTTGTCATAGTACAGTCCTGGCTGTGAGGATTAACGCTGCGAGGTTGACCATGGGAAATGCAGACAACTCCGGGGCTGCACCCACGGCTATGGAGCCTGAAATACATAAACAAATCAAAATCCAACATGTGTTTGTTCTTGTGTTCTTAATCTCTGGTGTGGTCTACAAATGTTTCAGAAGGTCTCACGTCAATTATCACAGGAAGAAAAAAAAATACAGTGAGTAAATTGTAAAATGCATCCAGTACGAAGAACTACGGTGTGGTGTGAGTAGACAACTGTATCGATAGATGGCACTAGTGCGCTGCGCTCAACTATGGGGCAAGCTGACTTTCAAAGAGCTAGAGCTGTGGGGTGGGAACAGCAACAGACACAGTTTGATTAAAAAGAAATATCCACTCCTAAACAGCTGCCTCCTGGCAATATTCTTTGCATGTCTGAGCCTGTTAAGTTGTTTGATGATATATATTTATCAGTCTGTGGATAAGAGACTGTATTTCACAGCTAAACAACAGTAAACACAACGTCCATACTTAGCTTCAAACACAAAAGGCTTATTTGAAGACCATTCTGACACTTTTCTGATGGGAAAAAAAAATCTCACAGAAGCTAGAGAGATAGCATTTTATCTACAGGAAGCAGCCTCAAAAGACCAAAATGCAGTGCACCTACAGGACATGTTTACAGTACTAAAATATACTTTTACACTAGACATTCAGACTTTAGTCTGAAGTCAGAAACAACGTTACAGTCTTTATCTGGGAGTTCTCAGAAATCGTCTTCAATGGAGGGAGAGGTAGTCGAGAGAAGCTGAGGAAAAGTTCTATTCCACATATGCTCAAAACACTAGTGCATACAGTATGTGTTTGCAGTTAGAGACTCAGCTCTGAATTCTACACTGAATTCATGTGTCTTGCAGAGATGTCTAACAAATGGACACTGATATAATTTTTATGTTTCATGTCTCAGCTCCTGTCCCACCTGCTATCTTGGGGATGGTAATCTGGCGGCTGCTGCTGCCTTCTCCTCCCTCACTGAAGGGTTTAATCTGGATGACGTAGTCCTGGTTGACTGGCAGTGACAACTCCAAGGAGGTGGTGTTAGTCTCTACCACACTGGGACGGCTGTGTTTGTCCTGGCTGTACATCACCTGCAGGAATGAGAGGGGAAAGATGCTAACAGTGTGAGGCATGGTGTTAATAGTGATGGGAGGCAGTATAGTTTCTTTTCCCCCCTTTCCTTTCCCTATACTTTGTGGACTGGTTTTCATTGGGAGGAGGTGTGGTTAAGCTTTGTGGTGATGAAATTGTGTCACTGATGTTATTAGGATGAGGTTCAGATGTGGGAGGCGTGACAGTTGAATAAGACTGCAGGTCGGACCAGCCAAGAAGGAAGTGCGACTCAGATACCACAGCTTCCCACCTTTGTCCAGCTTGTGCACTCTTCTGTGGAAAACCAGCCATACCTTTATTATTGTTATTATTTTTTTGTATTTACCAGCAAACAACCAAAACAAAAAACTGAACTAGGACGGCACTCGCCACTCATGGGAGCTGAGACCAGGGCTGGGGATGGACCCAACAACTGTTTAACCTGTGGGCTTTGTAAGCTACTCGGCTGTCTCCAGATCTTGAAAACCAGTTCACCTTATGCAACTGTAGATGTGTGCCAATGACTGTGTTGGACCGTCTTTCAGCTGCAGCTCAACTCTGTAGCTGTGGATGAATGTGCCCATTTTATTATTCAGCCTGACTCCTCTGTGGGCGTTAGGGTTATCAAGGGATTGTTATTTGAAGGAAAATAGGTAATTTATGGAAGACTTCAAATCTTAATTAATATGCAGCTACATATCAAGTCACCACAACTTCAGTATGAAATAAATATTTAAGTTTAAAACTTTAAAAATAAGTATGAAAAAAAGGACATGGCTTGCTGTACTTTTTAATTAAATGCAGTTTAGATGCTTCCTTACTTATCAAGAAAATCAGTGCATTCATAAATATGAGCGCAGTCAAAAAGAAAAGAAAAGAAAACAGTGCACTCATACAGAGTAAATGGACCAAGTGACAGGCTGTCATTTTCTGTTAAGTTACAATCTATAAAACCATTCACTCGTCAAAGCTGCAGTCAGTCCA